TTCCTCCTTAAATTTTCCCTGCATCCCCTTTCCTTATGAAGTCCCCTCTATTTCCCCTCCCCATCTCTTCACAGACCCTTACCCTCCCTCGCTCTCTCTCTCCCTTTCTTATCCCTCTTTCTTCCTCCTTACCCACCCACCTTCATTCTGACCCCCCCCCTTGGATAGTCATGTAAAGAATAAATGTACATAAACTGCGGTTCAACTACTTCAGTGCAGTGTACTAACCTCGAAGAAAAATGGTGATTCTGATAATGATGATAGTAATGATAATAACAGAGTTAGAATAAGATTCTCATAGATACGTAACGTGTGCGTTTCATTCTTTTATATTCAGATTGTAATGATAACAAAAATAACAACAATGGCAATGATATTATAAAAATAATAACGATAACGATGACAATAATGATAATAGAGTTAGAACAGGGGCTCACAGATTCAAAATATGATACGAATGTCCTCAAACTAACGGTTGTTTGCTCAGAGTAATTGTGGAAAACAGTCTTCGAAACACAAAATCCTTGATTCAGGAATACCGCAAAAAAATCAACTGGTTTATCAAACTGATGTAAGACGATAAGAACATTGTATTTTTGAGACTGAGTCATAAAATAACGTTAGCATAAGAAAATTGTGTCAAGAATTGATTTGCGTTACACAATATCTTTAAGCATACGTCCATAAATCCATAGAAAAAAACAACAAAGTATCTTTATAGGCCGCCGTCAGAACATAGCAATAGTGCCAACAGAGACGAGTTGTCACATCAAACCCAACACAACAGTAAAAAAGATACATGACATTTGAGACAAACATTGACCCCATTTCCAGAAAAGTAATATGTGGCACTGTTATACTTAAGTAAAAAATCAAATACCCACAGAAACAAGAATTGCTCTTATACAAAGACTAGCACTAAGAATTATTAATTACTGTCCAAACATCTGGGATGTAAATGAATATGACCACATCATAACACGTATAAACAAATTAAAATGGCTAAAAGTACAACAGAAATACAGCTATGACACATGTATTCTGATCCATAAAATCTTACAAGGAAATTACTCAAATTGCTATTACCTACACAGACAATTGGTAACAACGGTGTGTCCACACAAGGCAAAATAAGTCCTTACATGTCAAAATACGAACGCAGAAGACTGGTCAAGAAGTATACAAATCTGAGGACTGGTGATTTGGAAACAATTACCAGAAAATATCAGAAACATATCCAACCAAAAGATGTTTAAAACAAAAGTGAAAGAACATATACTGAAGTATGAGTAATATCAAAATAAGGCAAGAGGATAAACATTGTATTTTTAAACTGACAGTCTCTACAATTACGTTAAAAACACGTACTGAAGTATGAGTAATATCAAGCCAGGCACGATGTTTCAGTCACGCTATTAATGTTCAGTCTAATTTTATTACACAAGCATTGTATAATATCCATGTTTATGACATGTTATTACATTATGCAAACACCATTTACGTTAATACCTATGGTAATTAATGGAATAAAGTGTTTTGCATTTGACTTTGAATCACGATCACTACTACTATTACAACTACTACTACTATTACTACTATCATCATAATAGTGATTGGTATCATCATTATCAGCATTGCCATTGTTGTCATGATAACAGCAAGGCAATGATAAGAAAAAAACGACCCTGATATTACGACTTATATCTGCAATAAAATAAAGGAGGAAAAAACAAATCTGAGATAAAAAGTAATGATATAATCAAGAGATAAAGGGATAGTCAGATGAAGATAAAAGATAAGGAAAATGAGACGCAAGTAATAAAACCGGGAAACGGAAACCATCGTACTGATTTCCCCAGTTGACAGTTCGCCTTGACTGATGCTGGACACACACCACGCCCCTTTTGCGTTGTCATCTCACCCATGGAAGCTTTGTAATTTTTGACCTAGACGCACTCACACAAAACGACAAATCTAACGCGATGTTTATTAAAATCCAGCGTGTAATATTTATTAAAACAGAAAAAAAGCTAAAATGCCCACATTCCCTTAAGCACACATGTAGAATTAAATTTCATTAATCATAGCCATGCTAAAAAGAACACGATGAAAAAAATCTATGAACTAACCGGATTAGATTTTTAAAAATTCTGTCAGCAATGCTTTAAAAATAGACATTATGATTTTATTGACAGTTCCTTTAAACCTATATATATTTGTCATAGGTTTATGCCTAGGATTTTTATTCGTTTAGATGCTCTTTTCAATTTAATCTAACGAAAAATTTGAGTCTTTTTAGTTATGCATATCTAATTCCTATTCTTAAAAATTCAATTCTGACTTACATCAACAGTTCTGTATGATAAATTTTAGACACCGTTTGTGAATCACTTTGATATTCATTTACTGTGTTTGCAGTTTTGCATACCTCTGTCACTCTCTCTCTCTTTCTCTCTCTCTCTCTCTCTTTCTCTCTCTCTCTCTCTCTCTCTCTCTCTCT